GTATGCCTCGGCCATGCAAAGCCAACTGCGGCTGGGCGCATATAATTTACGACAACAAAAAAGTGCAAAAAAGCAAAAGTAACACCACACAAAAAAAAGTGCAATAAAGCAAAAGTAACACCACACAATTCCCCCTCCGTCTCTTTGTTAACAAGAGCGCCGCCGCCTCTGTCGCCGACTTTCCCCACGATCCGATTCCTCGACCGAACACAACAGGGTTGCAGGGATGTTCATGTACACAGCAGCGACTAGGCGGCGTGAGCGTGAGTGGGTTAAGGGGCCCCGTCCTGTGGCCAAGTCCTCTGCTGCAGCTGCGTCTTCAGCCACGGACGGTGACGGGTCCAATGCCGGCATTCCCATTTCCTGTAGTCCTGAGTTGGAACGGCCGCAGACCGAAGCTGACGATCCCGACTGGTCGTCCCCGGTGCACTCGTCCTGCTGCGGCATCCATGGGCGATGTGTCCCTCCCGCCCACAGCGATGATAGATGACGTCGTCAGTGAACCGAGGATGATCTCCTGCCTCGTGAGGTGCCCAGCGCCGGGGTCGGCGCTCCGCTTCCCGCGGGATCCTCGGGTACTGCCGCAGGGCCGCCACTGTCTTTCCCTCGTCCTCCGCCGGCGGCGCGTGTCTGGTTGGAGGCCATGGCCGCCCCTCGACGTCACCGCGATCCCACGCGACGTGTGCCACACCTCGCGTGGGTCCCGCCATCTCTTCGTAAGCGCAGAGATGGTGTGCGACCCATAGCGAGGTGCGGACTTCCTCCTCCACCACCGGCAGCATCACTCCCGCCTTCTGTGCCATGGTAAGGAGCCGCTCCGCCACCAGTGAGTCCAGGGCCGGCTCATTGAGCCGCAGGAATGCGGCTTCTGCCAGCGTCAACAGTTCCGTCCTGAAGACCAGGAGCGATTCGGATGCTTCACGCTGGCGGTTTTTAAACCTCTGGCGCGCCCCGGACGGAGGGTCGAACATGTCTGCCATCTCCTTGTAGACACCCTGCAGGGTTCCTCTTTTTGCAGCCGGAATCCGGTCAAACACCGCCAGTGCGGGGTCGTCCAACACAGTGGGCAGTATCGTCAGGGCTTGATCCTCCGTCCACCTCATTGCCCGAGCGGCCGTCTCGAACCAGCGGACGAAAGCGCGCCATTCTTCCGATCTGGACGCGAACTTCTGTATCGCGCCCAGCTGGCGGCTCCATCCTGGTCCTCCCTCTGCGGGCTGCCTTGGCTGAGGTTCTTACTGAAGCTAGCCCCCAGTTGCCGCTGCTGTCGGAGGATGTCGGGAGGACAGACCCGAGTGTTCTCCCAGGTCCCGCGCGGGATGCACGGTCGGCGGCGTCGCTGATGCTGCTCCATCCCCAGAGAGATGCTGCGGAGTGCCTGGTCGGGAAGGCTGACCGTGGCCCCTGTCTCCTCGCTGGGGAGATGGTGCGGCTGAGGTTCCCCCTGCTCGTTAGACCTCAGGACCCAGCCAGCTAAGCAGCGCGGTTACTGCTTCCAGCAGCAGATCCATCCTTCGATTCCGAGAGGATGATCTGCGGCGGCGGCGCTGTGTCTGCACCGCCGGGTTGGTGGAGGAAGGTGCCCACACGGGATGCGCAGCTGCCACGGATCTCGTCAATGAGCTGGGAGACAAATCCTGATTCATCGTTTCCGTTTCGGAGCAAATCTCGTCCCAGGCACCTAGAGCGTCTGCTTGCTGTGTCTCCCCCCTTGGGTTATTGCGTCAGTTGAGGCGAGACATCCCACCGCTGCCACCAGATGAAGAGGATTCGGAGAATGGTTCAAGCACTTCTTTATTTCTCCAACGCACAGCAACCCTTGTTCCAAAATCAACCCCAAACACGCGTCCCACAGCCCCTTTTAACCCCTCCATCTCCACCCTCGCTCCCAATACACAGCCACGTCGGGCACGCTTTGTCCGGGTGACGTCACTGCCCTTTAACCCCTGACCCCCGTCCAGTGCATTCCCGCGCGTGTGATTGGTGCGTGTTATAGTGAGAGCGGAGATGTCGTGTTTGCGTGGTGCGTGTGTGTGAGGGTGGCTCGCAGATCGCTTACACAATGATAGAATACGTATTTTTGTTAAAGTTGGAAAGTCGGGCTCACGATAACGATTTGGGTGTTAGGAGAGGGTCCGGGTCGTGCTGGGGTGGGTCCGCGGGTTTAGGGGAGAAGGGGTCCGGCGAGGTGGGTCAGAGGGGCTCCAGGGTGTGTCTGGGATGAATCCGGGAAGGGGGGTCCGGAGTCGGCCTGGGCTTCCGGAAAGGGGGGGTTCTGGGGTGTCCAGGGGGGGCGGTCCGTGATGGGTATAGAGTGAGTCCAGGGTGGATCCTTAGAGGGTCCTTAGGGGGTCCGGCGTACTTCCGGACAAGATCCGGGATGGGTCCTGTGGGCACGGTGGTCCGGATGGTCCAGAGTGGGTCCGGGGAGGGTCAAGGGGGGGTCCGGAAAGGGTCCCGGGGGTGGGGGGGGGGTCCGGGGGTGTTCCGGTGTCGGTCCGGGGCGTCCGTGAACATATTTTTACATAGCATATTGATTGTATGTTGAACTCCTTTTGCACTATACGTAGCCAACTCTGATAATTCACTATGTAACACGATTTTTGTTCCTGGGTAGTAAGTGTTATTTTCTAATTGCTTATGCTTGAAAAGTATAGAAAATGGCTATTATTCCCCACAAACTTTGCTTTTGTGACCAGGACTTTATGTGAAGGAATGACACAAATGCACACCACGTTTTCTCATTGAAAATGAGTAAATTAAAAAATATCACTGGCCTGGTCAAAAAAGCAAAGTTTGTGGGGAATAATAGCCATTTTCTGTACTTTTGAGGCATAAGCAATTAGAAAATAACACTACCCAGGAACAAAAACAAATATTTCTTGTTACAGTGTTGTAATCGGAGGTGCTTTTTGAGGCATCTCACTCGCAAACCTAAGGAGCCTAAGATTCCATTTCAGGGAGTCCCAAAATCACACTCTGGAGTCCCAATTCTACTTCTGGGAATCTGAATGCCACATTCTGGAGTCTGAACTTCAACCCAAATGTAATTGGGACTATTGAAATGTAATTGAGACTCCTGTAGCCCTAATTAGGGGTTATGGTTAGAGTTTAGGGTTAGAGACAGGGGTTAAGGTTTGGGTTATGGATGGGGGGTTAGGGTTATAGGATAAGGGCTATAGAGTTGAGTTGGCTATATGTGCATTACAGGTTAGGTTCAGGGCTGTATATGGTCACCTCTAATTAGCACGGTTGGTTATGTATGGTGCGAAAGTTGAACATACATACGTAAGAGCTATAGGGTTAGGGCTATAGGTTAGAGCTACAGGGTTCAGGTATTTACAAGGGTCAGGGTTATGGGGTTGTGATGGATGTGTTTTATACAAGTCACGTTATGCCCTCTTATGGATAAATGATCAACTACAGCTGTTGCTTTACAAGGAACACAATAACAGAGCGGTCGTTAACATCTCGCCACCGTAGCGCCCCATTTTCTACACAGTAATTAACCCGGCAGGAACAGTTTCTAGGGTATATTTGAGCACAAGCAGTGCAGCTAGACAGGGAACGATAATAGGACTGGGCTTGTGGTCACATCTGCAGAATTAAACGTTTTCTGTCTGCTGCATTTATTTGATCATGTGCTAAATTAACTCAAAACAGGGACGTTCATGGGTGAAGATCTCCTCTACGAGGAAGGCGTGAGGCCTAAAGAGGAAGTCTAAAGAAACTTCGAATTAAACCTGGCCCCTCATTTGGGCTGCCTTTTTAGCCTCTACCCCTCCTGTCTAGGCCATGCCCTTTATCTGTTATGGCCCCTAACCCCTTTATGTCTAGGTCCTACCCACTCCCTCTTTCGGCCTCATGCCACTTTAGGGCCCACCCCTAAATCGCTCAAATGAATCAAAGTTAATTTGAGTGAGAAAGTGAGTGGGTAGCGGTGGGGGTTGTGATGGAGCAGATTCACGATGACTAACATTCCTCATAAGCAATACATACAGGTGGTCATTTTAACACGTAGGCTTTGGCGACCAATATCATCCATAATAGAGGTTTTTGGGTTACGCGATCTAACCCAAAAGCCTCTATTATGCAGGTGATCATGTTGGCCAGTCCCAGCAGCACTGGGGTCCCTTTTTCTAGCAGATCCACAGCACCTCAACCCCCCACCTCTGACCAGAAACCCATGCCTGATTTTACATCGTCCCTCTTGGAACCTTTTCCCTCAGTCTCTCACCTCAGTAGAGCTCCTTCCCTTTACCTTGTTTAGTAGCTCAGCCAACCCTATATTAATATAAGATTGTACACACAAAACATAGCTACTAAATAAACTCACCATTGGACATAAACATCACAACTTCGATCGTGTCATTTATTGCTGGTCGCTTTACGTTTTGGACCTTTCTTTATTCAGTTTTGTTCAGTTGCTCGTGTTTTTCTTACACACCAACATCCAATTTTCTTATACACTGACACATTTTGTTATATTTTGATTTAAAGCTTTCGTGACTGCAGGGATTCATATTCTTGGTTCTTTCGGTAAAGTCACGTAGAAGGGAAACAATAAAGTAATAAATAAATATTTCATTATTTCCCTTCTACGTGACTTTACCGAAAGAACCAAGAATATACATGTTTTGTTGCTGAAATAAAATCAAATGGAAACAATATAAACCCATACAACTGAGGAATACCTAATGTTGGGTGATGTGGTAATTTGTAACTACAGGTCACAACTTAAAAACTCACCCACCCCCTCATTCACACACCCACCCATCCACTCACTCACCACACTGCAACATTCACATTTCCTCACTTACCCATTAATAACTAAGCCACCCATTCACCTACGCATTTATTCATCCATACTGTGATCCACCACCCACTCTCCCACACTCACCCACTCACCATTCTGCAGGTCACAACACTTCTATTTCATCTCACTGTTCCACTCGAATTCCCTCTCAAGCTCAATTCAGGAAACACGTTTACTCTTGATCTACAACTCTAATTTGTTTATTGCTGGCTGCTTGATGTATTGGGCTTTTGGGCCTGTGCTCGATTGTTTAAAAATAAATGCAATATTCACTTATGGTAATGATTACGCCTCATTCTGAAAACCATTTTAATCAATAAATACGAATAAGTTAGAATATTAAATAAATAAATAAAGATTACGTTCAATTTCCATAATAACTCCATTCATTAGATAGGTAATGTTCTTTAGGTCTATTTCATCTTTATAGGCAGCATATAATGGTGTATAACAGGGGTCAGTAACCAAAATAACAAGAGCCATTGTTTTCGAATTCTGTAATAAACTCAATATTTCAAGAGCCGCAATGCAAGTGAATACGAGACAGTCGTTAATAAAGAACGTCACAAAGCAGTCATTAAAGAGCCGCATGCGGCTTCGGAGCCGCAGGTTGCTGGCCCCTGGTGTATAATAACACAATGTAGTGTAGCAGTTTAAACATCAATTTCAGCAGAGGTTGCAGTGTATTGTTAAATAATGGCATTCATGCAAAACTTATTTTTCAGTGTTGTGTAGACTTTTAATATATTAGTATAGAATCCCTAAATGCATTGTAATGCTAACATCCAAAGCGAAAGAAAAGCCATACAGTAAATACTACTGGTTAGAATGCTGCTTATCACAACATGATTAGTGTCATTGGAGATTATAAGTAACAAAATAAATAAGCAGACAATGCGCCTCATTTCACATATTTGTTCCTCCACATAAAATTCTAATATTGTTTTAAATATCTGATCAGCCACACAGCCTTCTGGGATTTAAAAAAAAAAATAGCAACATTGGTTTAACACAATAAAATTCTGGACCGGTTTCAATATGCATCGTCTAATCAGTAGTTATGGCTTACTTCAACCAATACCGGTGAACTTCTAAATGTGTATAGGCAAGACATATATATGTCATAATATTCTCCATAACGACGCTAATGATGGTTTTGTGTTATGTATTATAAAGTTTTGTATCAAACTAGGATCCATATGTAAAATACAGGTCACCACCATTTGGTCAAGCAAGCCGAACTACTGATGAGACACTGAATGTCAAAAACCGAAATAGAGTTTTAATGAATTCACTCCCAGTTGGCTGTGTTGCTGATGGGATGTCTAAAACATACTTTCATATTTTTATGTGGAGGGATAGGCATGTATTGTTATTTTGAGTCATAAGGCAAGTTCTGTTGCAGACAGCAGCTGTGGCAGAAGCACATGTCTTCACTAACTCTGCACGGAGTATAACCTACATATACAGATATCATCTACAAGCAGCTGTTAAGCCTTAGGAACACCGGCACACTGGAAAAGCTGGATCTTAGATACGGGACGATTCCTCTTCAGCATCTGCCCTGTTGGCTCGGATTTCCACAAGAGTCCTAGCGAAGGACGTCCATTCATCGTTGCGTGGCAGTGCCAACTGCTGCAAAGGACAATAGACAAAACCATCAAGTGAAATAACACAATACATAAGCAAACAATATGCCCCACTCCCATATCTGTCTCTCAACATAAAACAAACAAAAGTATAGATTTGTGTTATACATCCCATCAGCCACATGGGCTTCTGGAATTTTTTTCAGCAACATTGGTTTAATTCAAGAAAAGTCTTTAAGTAAAATCAAATTATTTGGTGATACTGCGTTAGCAGTGGTGCACAAATGACAAAAATCAACACGATAAAATAAAATAACAATATTTCATATTAAGTATTCCCACGTTGTTCACGAACTTGCTATCTGCGATTATAGCTATCTGCGAATCGCATCTGGGCCTCTACACAACTGTATCGAGAGAGAGAGCGCGAGAGAGAAAAGAAAGTGATGAGATAAAGTGATGATGAGATAGTAAAGTCATTACAACGATCACCTTAATCATCGTTGTCGGCATCATCGTTACTACATGATTATACTGTGCAGCATCATCTTCATTTAAGGTAAGTTCATTTATAAACTATTGTTTAATACTTTAATATATTAATTTACTTTGTTTCTTATAACCATTTCTTGGTGTTATTATAATTTTCATGTATTTATGGATTCATTTAAGGCAAGTCATAAAAAACGTGCTATTCACGAGCATCTCCGGAACATATCCCTCTTGAATAACAAGGGAATACTGCATGATGATAATAGGTGATGTTTCGGACATGGGGAGCAGTGATGTAGTGCTTTGTTGTCCTTTACCTGCACCTCCGATTAGCACGGTTAGCTATGTATGGTACGAAATAAGTTCAGCATACATATATACATTAGAACACTGCTTTATGAACCAAGCGATCCGTATTTGATATCCGCTCACAGCCAACATCGGTGATGACTATCTGAATTTATCTTGGGCTTCCCCTAGGTTGACTTGGCCTTACCTGGTGCGGTGAGTAAACTTCAGCATTGGGGAGACAAAGGCGGCTGGGTGTGGTGCTGGCCACTCACCCCCATGTGCCATGTTGGCCTTCATAGGTGCTCGCTAATGGCACTTGCCCAAACAGCCTGTTAAAAGCTATATGAGGGATCTTTGTCTGTTTATATGTGAGTGTCTATGTGTGTGTGAGAGTGTATTTTTCGAACTGTGTCATTGCGTGTTTGCTGTGTGCATGTCAACTGACACCCTGGACACAATTGCAAACAAGATGTTCTATCTCAAGGAATAATCTCAGTGAAATATTTTCATTAATATAAATAAACTATGTGCTCGAGAATACACCATGACTTCCACATTCTTACCTCGCCTATTTCGTAAATCCACAAGTGGCCTTCAGAGTCACCCACCGCCAACTCTCGACCAGAGTGAGTCCAACGGACGCGGTTTAGGGCTGGGCAGCCATCAATCGTAACGCTAGCGGCAGGAACCTGCAAGAAACCACACGCATTTAGGCTATGAAAGATGTGCATGAGTTATTGCATAAGGATCACATTGTAATGATTTCTTACTAGAGTTGAAAATAAATAAGTTAACAACAAGGCTCTATCTGGCATCTGTCCCTCCTCATAAAAGTATGTTTTACACATCCCATCAGCTACATGACCTTCTGGGAGTGAATTTAGCCGACCTGGTTTGGCTAAATGACGAGCTGGGGGTCCAGCTAGCTGGGATTTTACTACACATGTCAATTCATTTAACACGTAGGCTTTCAGTACCAATATCATCCATAATTGAGGTTTTTGGGTTAGATCGCGTAAATATCAATTGTTGTATTTGTTGTTCTAACAAATAACGTGGAACAAAAACTGACAAATTTTACAGGGTGGATTTGTATGTATTCATACACCATTACAAAGACACCCCGTATAGCCTTAACAGACTGTTGGGGCAAGTGTCATGAGCGAGCACCTATGAAGGCAGGCACGGCACACAAGGGGATGGTGTGGCCAGCACCAGGCCCAGCCACCTTTTTTTCCCCAAGGCTGCAACGGGTATTTTTTTGAGAAATGTATAATTACACTAAAAGCTTGGCTCACTCCACCTGGGTATTCACTTGGGTGCCACAGTGGCGAGATGTTAACTACCTTGCCTGGTATGCAGGAAGTCGTGGATTCGATCCCGACCCTGACACCTGTATATTTGGTCATGTGGAATTTTCTTTAGGTCCTCCGGTTTTTCCCTCCACATTTAGAATCAACATTAGTTTCAACTAGTTGGTTTTTATAAATTTCCACGTGATAAGTCACTTCGTTGAGCGATCATTTGTGGCCAGGTCACTTCTGAAAAAGAGCTATGTAGCTCAGTGGACCTTACCTGTTAAAATAATAAATAGTTTAGTTTTATCTTCTTGGTTCTTTCGGTAAAGTCACGTGGAAGGGAAACAATAATATTATTTCATTATTTCCCTTATACGTGACTTTACCGAACGAACCAAGAAGATGAATCCCTGCAGTCACGAAAGCTTTAAATCGAAGTTTAGTTTTAGTTTAGTAATCTCGTCCTCACCTCCGTGTCACTGTTCAGGTTCCACAGATCGAGCCGCCCCATTCCATCTACAGACGCAAAGAGCGATGGGTGGACCGGAGACCACATCACGTCGTACACGTAGTCCGAGTTGTCCTCAAAAGAATAGAGTGGCTTGTTGTTCTGCAGCAGAGAAAAGCACAAAATACTAAGATCTGAACATTCTCCATGTTCGAGACAGGTGCCCTTATTTATGTGCTCATTCTTAGAAAGCCCCTGGGACTGGAGGAATCAACAAGTGACGTTCACGGGAACAGTAACCATGGTAGTAGCGATAAAAGAGTGGTTGAATGAGTGGGTGGAAAACTATGTGAGTAAGTGGGTCAGTGAGAGAGAGTGGGTGCGCAACTGGGTGGGTGAATGAGTGTGAGTCGGTGAGTGAATAGGTGCGAGCTAAAGTGACCCTTCGGGATAGTGATCCGTTGGGTGACTTCAATGCCCGAGTGGGTCATGATGCAGACACCTGGAGCAGAGTGATTAGAAGTAATAACGGTAGGCGGCTGCTACAATTCTGTGCAACCCATGGGCATGTAATTACCAATATGCTTTTCCGACACTGGCGCATCCACACATAATAGATGCATGCCGTATCCAAGCTATAACATATGCTGGACTATTTATTGATGGAACAGTGGATGTGGGCCCATGTCCTTAACACCAGGACCTTCTGTGGAGCTGATCTGCCCACTGACCATTGGCTTGTCATCTGCAAGATGCACCTGCCATTCTTCCACTCTGGAGGTGGGTGCCCACCTCTGACCCCATTCAAATACACAATAGAATGGTCTCAACTAGCTGACGAGTTGCAAGTAGGAATTTCAACATCGCTTGCAGCTGGGGTTGACATCTCCCCTCCCCCTCCTGATGCTGAGGGAAAATGGCTGAGTATCAGGACTGTGGCTCATGCAGCTGCAATGACTGCATTGGATATCCCCACTCCAGACCTCCCGAGAGACCCTGGCTGAAAGAGGTATTTTCAGCTGGCTGAGAGAAAATGACAGACCCACTCCCGTCGTCCACAACATCCAACGTTGGAGAATGAGGAGGCTTATCACAGCCTTTGCTCAGAGATTCGGAGAGCAGTGCGGCACTGCAAGAATGAGTGCTGAGGAGATGCAATCTGCCTGAGTAGTCTGCAATCACTGTTTAATCCCATCAAAAAATAACTTGCAGCGCTTTACCTATCATCATCCATAAGGCGAATAACGGTGATCCGATCTCCGACCCCCAATAACAAATCTGCAGGAATGAGAGTATTTCTATGAGGTCTTGGGGAGGGGCATTCCCTCAGCCCAAATAACATCATGGAGAAAGATGATGCCCCTGCTCGAGCTGTGGTGCCTCAAATATTGGCTGATGTAACCACCCCTTGTGAGTGGCTGGCTGAAGTGCAATCTGATGAGGAAGTACGAGCGGTGATCCAGAGTCTGAGACCAAGAAAAATGCTGGGTAGAGGACGAACTCCCAAGGAAACTGCTGAGGGAGGGTGGTGTCTGTGTGTAGAATTCCCTACATGGCATCATCACAACTGTATGGACCACAGCACAATTTCTGCGGGATTTAAATGAGACCCTAGTAGTCCCCCTCATCAAGGGGGATCCGTGCAGATTGTAACAACTAACGGGTATCTCCCTCCTCAGTGTGCTGGGAAAGGTCCTGGCAAAGATTATTCAACTTCTTGCCAGGCATGCTGAGAAGTAGCTTTCGGAGCTTCAATGTGGTCTCAGGCCAGGGCGTTCCTGCACAAATGCCATATTCTCTGTCCATCTGCGAGAGCAGAGGTGCAAGGAATTCCAACAGGATACACATCTCTGCTTTATTGACCTGGTCAAGGCCTATGATGCCATCAATAGGCCAGGGCACTGGGTTGTTCTTTGTGCTTTCGGAGTCCCTGACTCTCTGCTCATAGACCACCTTCACCGTGGGCAGACCCGGGTAAAGCCACATGGCCAGGAGTCGGAGCAATTTCCTAGTCATCCTGCGGTGCAACAGGGATGTCCTCTGGTAATCACATTTACTGGGCAGTTGACGGCAGTCGCTCTCCAACAACAATGGAGGGCAGAGGAGAGACGCTCACAACAACGAGCTGAGCGCCGAGCGGTTCAAATGCAGAAAGTTGGCACAGTAAGGGGCGTAGCTGGTAAATCTGGCAGTCACCTCAATCAATAACCAATAGCACCTGGGTCTGTCGCATGACCTCCTGTCAGTGAGCTTTCGGCACTTCACGTGGCCTTGCAGTGAATCTGACTTGGCACAAGCTCAGTGGTGACGTCACCGCAGTTGTTATTGTTGTATGTATAGTATGTTGAACTTCTTTCACATCGTACGTAGCCAACCGAGCTAATTGGAGGTGCGGGGGAAGGACAACAAACGAGTGGATGAGTGAGTAAGTATGTGAGTTAGGTGAGTGAATAGATACGTGACCAAGTGGGTGAGTGAGTGGGTGGATAAATGGCTGAGTATTTGAATGGGTGAGTGAATGGGTGGGTAAGTGGGTGAGTGAGTTAGTTGATGAGTGGGTGAGTTGAGTGGGTGGGAGAGTGAGTAGGCGAGTAACAGACCTTCGTGGTCCAGAGCTTGATTGTCCAGTCAAACGAAGAGGTGAGAAAGAGGTGAGAGAAGTCAATGGGTCCTGCAGCAGAGTGGCTGTGAATGCCAGTCACTGGTCCCTGGTGCCCTTCAAACACCTCACTGATCCCTGCTTTGCTGGAACATGCACATTGCCAAATACATTCTTAAGCCAGAGTGTAACAACAACAGTCCCGCTCGAGCGCGCATCGAGGCACTGCTCATCTCCTGTTTACAGCCCTGAGTCAGTGACCATGGAAATGCCAGATTCCATTACACTCCCTTTGTGTATGTGCGAGTGTATACACGTACGTGTGTTTGTGGATGTGCACTGCGTGTTTCCTATGCATGTCAATTGACAGCTTGGATACCGGTGCAAACGAGACATTTCATTCCAAGGGATTTTCCAGGGTGAAGTATTTAAACAGATAAAACTCACAATCAGTAACCTCACCTCCCATGCCTGCAGGCAGTGTATACCGAACCCTCTTCACTGCCCACCACAAAGTTATTGACGTCACCGACAGGAAAGGTCATGCAGGTGACTGCGATCGACTTGGACTGTTTGTGCACGAGTTCCATGCTGTCCTGTTTGACCACATGGAAGAAACGTGCTCAGTTGCCAAGACGTACGAAAACACATAACGCAATACTCATTAGCGTTGCTGTAAAGATAAATAACATCACAAATCAGCAGACGATATGCCTCCTTCTCGCATGTGTTCTTCCACGTAATTTTTTTACACATTCCATCAGTCAACACAGCTTTTCTTCTGGGAACATTTTTTGTCAGCAGTCTGGCTTGCTAAATGTTTATTGTCAAGGACCCTCTCTGTTAGCGGTCCTAGTTCGATGTACAATTATACAACACAAAATAGAAAAAAGGCAGAGGTGTGGAGGAAGACATATGTGAATGTGGAGGCACGTTGTCTGCTTATTTATTTTGTTACTTAGATTCACCACAATGACATGAATTATCACTCTTCTATCGCAACTCGCATGTTTACTGTTCCGTGAGCTTCATCTGTTGATTCCGCCACCCATGTTGAGGACGATCTACCAGACACAGACTCTTTCATCTCATCCACCGCACCGTGTTCAACCACTACCAACACCACACTGCAGGTCACAACACACACTCACTCACCCACCACTCCCTTCCTCATACACTCACCCATTCACTCCTTTACTCACTCACCGACTTACCACACTGCAGGTCACAACACTCTTCCCTCGCACTGCTCCACTTTGGAATTCCCTCCCATCGTCTCTTTTCACCGGGCTCATATAATAATAACCTTGCTCAATTCTAGACGCATGCCAACTCTTGTTTATCACAGTTTTGATAGCGCTGTTTGATTTGGCTGCTTGATATACCTGTGCTCAGCAACTCAGTTTAATAAAATAAATGTGGTTTGAGAGTGCACTTTGGCGAAAGTAAAGACATTCATAACAAATAGATATGTTACAGAACTGGGTATGTGTAACAGGTGTGGTCATAGGGATGATATCTTGTGCGTATATTGATGCCAGCCAGTAACGAGTCTGTTGAAATTGCCCAATAGAAGAGTAACGCTGGCCCATGATTGGTCAAGGACAGATGGGCGGTACATTGCGTCCCGCGCCTTCCCCCAGATGCAAGTCGGTAGACTCGGGACTGCCACATCAGAGCACAAGAGACGCATTTGAAGGTGTTCTGCTGCCTGGGTCGAGTCAGGGCCTGGGATGGTTGCGTTGCAGGTCCTGCTGGTGTGCCAGCGTGTCAGTCTGCCAGCGTGTCAGTCTGCCAGCGTGTCAGTCTGCCGGCGTGTTAGTGTGCGACGTGTCAGTGTGCCGTGTGTTAGTGTGGTGGTGTATCGGTGAGTCGGCGTGTTCTTGTGCTGGAGTGTCAGTGTGGTGACATAGTAGTGTGCTGGCGTGTAAGTGTGCCGGAGTGTCGGTGAGTCGTCGTCTTAATGTGCTGGTATGTTAGTGTGCTAGCGTGTAAGTGTGCTGGGGTGTCAGTGTGCCGAAGTGTTGGCGAGTCGGCGTGTTAGTGTGCTGGCATGTTGGTGTGCCCACGTGATGGGGAGTCGGTGTGAATAAACGGGCACCATTGTGGTTCTTCAAATTCACCTGGAGGCTCCGTAGCTAACGAGTAAAAGTGAGGAGCGCTGGGGCCCTCGAGTAAGAGAGGGACGCTGAGCAGAAGCAAGAATACAATGCACGAGTACTGCCGAAATTTGACAAATTTATGTAACAATAACCACCCTTTTGTTCTTGGTGAAGATTACGGCCAGAAGGATGAGACACCGTGAGCACGGGTTACAAATGCATGGCTATGTTTGAAGTACCTGTGGCTGGGACAACATGTCCAGACTCCAGGAACACATTCGTCCGTCTGTGGACACGCTGATGAGATTGTGCGCGTTCTGTGTCCCCACCACATTCACGCAATACACCGGGTGCTGACAACCAACGGACAAAACAAGAGTTAGAGAAAATATCAAAATAATTTCCTGCTCAAATGAGCACTGAGGCAATGCCTATCTCCCGTTTACAGCCCTGAACTAATGATCGTGGAAATTCCACATTACTATGGCGGTGGTAAATCTCCGCTATTGATATTCTCCACAACGTGGTCGTTGTTTTAGCCACCATGGAGGAAGTTATGATTGGCCGAGTCAACCAATCAGTCCTTTTGTGCAATATTTGTGTTTTTCACATGTAGTCACTAGACTGCAGCAGACACAACACACATAGGTGGATCCATAAACACAATTCGCAATTCCCTCTGGGATTGTCCGAATTGCAATCGTGACCAGCATCATGAAAATGACAAAAGCAAAAACATTAAAAAAAACACAACAATGCTGCAAATAGAAATGAGAGAAAGGGTTAAATTGGTCAAGTAAGGTTGCCACCTGTGTTTGGGTGGCAGAAATCGATTTTTATTGTGATCTGGTGGTATTGTTAAACTGTATTACAGTATATACTCTCATTTGATAGACCTAGGCTGAATGAGAAAAATGTCCAGGTTTGGTCTAAAGTGGAAAAGGTGCCAGACCCTAGATTCAAGATGGTCTTACGGCTTACCGTATGTGCTGCTGCTGACAGGGGGGTCCTCTGTACAGGCGTCATGCGATTGCTTCGATTGTCCCAAAGCACAATCTGACCCGAGTAGGTGCCACCAACCACCAGATTTGGATGAAAACGAGCAAAGCTTGCAGACATCACAGCTGACTGCACTCAAACAGACACCCACATTGCATTTCTCATTGTTAATTCTGCACTCATTATTTCCTCCACCCATATTGAAGACTTGGGAACATTAACAATGGTAGTAGCAATGGAAGAGTAATCAGGTGACTGACCGACTGCTGGTGAGTGAGAAAGTGACCGGAGTAAATCAGTGAGTTCTGGGTCATCAATAACCCTGGTTGATTTACTCTGAATTCTATCAAGTGCAGCGATGTAATCACTGGGTGCTCCAACCGAGATGACAGCTGGATTTCAACTTCAGCCTCATGTGCTCTCTCTATAGCAGTATAAATGTTTTAAGGCATTGGTGAGGTAGCTTGGATTGCAATAAACACAGACCACACTTTTCACTCACCTGGCAATGGAAGACATACTCAGGAGTAGTTTTCTTGAATTTTGTGTTCCAAACCAAGGCCACTCCATCAGGCTCATGGGGACTATCTTCATTGTTATTATAGGTTGCAACGAGCAACTCGGGGTACTGTGGGATCATATAACACATATAACACAACACAATCAGCATCAATTTGGAGACTCAACATATCTGTCCTCGACACAAAAAAAGATTTGTGAGAAACGAGGGCAAATATACTATGCTGTGACTTAGGCCTGCCGCTGTGCCGTTTTAATGTTCACGCGAGCCACTTGGTGTGTGCATTACTAAAATTTCACTTGGGAATGATTACTGGCTCCTGAAATTTGGAACCGTTAATCCATCCTGAAAACGATGACTGGTTTATCGGTTACTGTTTGACAACCTACGCATTAACACAGCACCACAAACCTGGGCAGACCAGTCCAGGCTGGTGATCACTCGACGTTTGGACCAACGTTCATCGTAGAACTGCCTGTTCAAGGAGAGCTTGGCACCTGCCAGTACTTCCCTACACACACACACAAGAGTCCCAGTATAGCAGTGCACACCATGCCATATACTCAATTTAAAACTACATTTTAGTATCATCATTAGACCTCCTTTGCCAGTACCAAAATATAAGAATAGGGTTTTTCCCCTTTTTTCTGGCAACAAAACTGACACCTTTTTACAAGGATTCATGTCTGCATTAACCACAATACCTGCAGTCAAAATGCAAACAAAAACATACTATGATAATATATGCATTGTCCTTGACACTGATTGTTTTTTGTTTGCATTTTGACTGCAGGTATTGTGGTTAATGCAGACATGAATCCTTGTAAAAAGGTTTCAGTTTTGTTGCCAGAAAAAAGGGGAAAAACCCTATTATTACATTTTACTTATATTAAATCTGGTTTTCATGAGTGGTCCACGATACGTTCCGGAATCACATTAGAACACCATTCCAGTGGACAGAACTCAGGGAACTTAGCTAATGCATCAAATCTGGATTTGCATATTCTTATATACATTATACTTTAAGGCATAAGGGCTCCCTTCCTCCCTCCCCCTCTCACTCCCAAAGACCAGAATGATAAAGCGATTTTGTTTGTTCAGTGATTCATTAGTAGCTCATCTGTAAACAGCATCACAGTAGTTCAAAAGTGGTAAAAAGATAGCTTCAACAATTTACAGGCGCATTCGAATGGGAAAACAATGTTTGTTTCGATATAAAAACCTATTTTTGGTTTTATTTTCTTTTAGATATGATCAATATGGGGTGGAAATGTAATTTTGGAATCAATCAGTATAACTATTTATTTCAAGCACTCGGTTTGTTTAATGATATTGGTTCTAATATCCGTCATAGGTGGAGAATGAAACTGGATTTTTATTTGAAGAAAAGAGCATGATATTCTTTTTTTAGGATTTAGGAGCAATTTTAGTGATAATTGATGTTGAATTAAGTCGAAATCGTGTTGGAGATTCTGTTTGACTTCGTTTGGAAATGTACCCAATACTAGTGTAGTGGGTTCTAGTGACGTCGGAGACGGATCTTTGGAGGCGACACTTTATTCAATACAAATACTCGGCAGTACAGTCCCAGTCTCACACTGCCTCTGGGCTAACGTGCCCTGTCACGGGGCTACAGCTCTGGTCCTCCGGCTACGGGTGCCCTAAGGGAGGCTGCACTAACCCGACCCAGCCAAGGTGCGGGTTCCGACCACTGGTCCACTCGGACCCGGCGCTTACAAGGACGTCGGGCCGGGGGTTCCCAGGGTCTCACCACTGGGCCATACAGAATGTCGGCCCTTACAAGGGCAGCGGGGCTAGGGGTCCCAGGGTCCTATCTAGCTGGTCTTCTGGCTTCTGTCTTGGACTGGCCCCGGACCCTTCCCAGGGTCCGGCTTTTATACCCAGCACCGGTGCTTCAGCCGTGGCTCCGCCTACCTTGCTGGGATCCCCTGGAGGGGGCTCCGGGAGATCCCAGGACACCCCGTAGCCCCCTCCTATCGGGAGGGGTCCCGGGGGATCCTAGGACACCCCGCAGCCCCCTCCTGCTTTCCGGCTAGGGATATAACGACTGCCCCTGCTGGACCCTGACTGCCCCTGCAGGTAAGTGTACACAGCCCATCGACATCGCTACACTAGCATGACTGCCATTAGCCAAGTCAATCCACACCAGCCAGGATTAAAACTAAGAACCTTCAAATTTCGAGCTGCTTACTATAGCACTGAGGCATGGCCAGTTAGTCAACAACACTTTATATACTTGCAATTTACTTTAAATTTAAACATATACTACATATATGAATGTAAGCAAAACACAGGTGTCAGAAACATACAAGCAAACAGTCTCAAGAATCGACTTATGATGATAAAAAATGGTGTTTTAAAAAACATGAATTTTGAAATTACCCATCAATTTCTTCGTTATCACGGCCACTGTAGTCAAAGAATATGTCCTGATGTTCAGCCAGGGCACGCTCCATGATGCGTGACGTTCGGTCAAAGAAGTTGAGGAAGTCATCGGAGTGAAGCACCTGTTCCTTCTCCTCTTCTGTGAGCTCGCATGGATGTACTGCAAGTCGCACATTCTTTTTAATTAAAATATTTCACCTGCAAACTACTTTGACAGAAAATCTCATTTGTTAGGGTGTCTTTGGTGTCAATTGACACATACATTGCAAACACATAAAAACACGTATACAATAATAACCACTGTTCACCACGAAATGGCAGTTATGTCACCACGGCGCTTGTGCCTTGCTAGGTGCACTTTGAGGCCACTGAAGTGTCTAAGGCCCGCTGGCAGAAGGTTACGGAACAGAACCAGATGCCATGGTTTGACTGACTGAGATGACTGGCAGATGCACCAACTGTGCTCTTCACTGTGCCAATTCTCTACGTTTTAAGCCGCCCGGTGCTCTGTTTAATGTTATGAGCATCGCTCCTCTCCCCTTCATTATGGCTGGAGGGCGACTGCCTCCAACTCCCCAGCATCGTACTTCACAAACCTCTTGCACAAAGGCCGATCTTGACACTGCTGATAAAAGTCATCGCCAAGTCTAATCAGCTCCACATCCTTCTGCACCATATCAGTTCATCTCTTCTCAAGCCTTTCATATGCCCGTTTAGCCCCATCAATCCGGCCAAACAGAAGCTGCTTGGGCATGCGGTAGCTGCGCAGGTGAGCTACATGACCAGCCAACACAACCTCACTTGCAGGAGGAGTTCAATGATGGTACTGTGTTCAGATCTTTCAAGAAACTGCGAGTTCCTCACACAATTCAGTCTGGTTAAACCCAGGATGGATTGTAGGCAGACTAGCCTGAATGTTTCAAACCAGCACAGATATTCTTTTAAAGAGCTCCACGTCTCCCAAGCATACAGAATTGAGGGCATAACTGTGGCCGAGAAAACCTGGAGCTTTGTATGGAGCGACAGGCCAGGCAGCTTCCACACAGCGTCATGCAGCTGATGAAAAGATAATGCCGCTCGACTGATTTGGAGTAAGACCTCGGCTGCCAAACCGGAGCTGGTCATAAGCACACTGCCCAAGCACGGAAACGTCCTTCACTCTCTCCACAACTTCTTCTCATGACTTATGGGAAGTTGAGGGAGGGGAGCATTTGATGACATAAATACCAAGGCAGGTGCATTGTTTTTGTGGGGATTATGGTAAGGCCCGATCTCTTAGTAGCATACTCCAGGTTCAGCATTCACGTCTCCAACTCCTTCTCAGAATGGACAGCAATCACAAGATCATCTGCATACATATGGTTGTCCAATAAGGCAGCCATCTTTGGACCACACCTGGCCATCGATCAGCCTCTCATTGTATCTGTACTAGATGAGAATTCCACCAGTAAACCCTTACATATTCATCAAAAGATTCTGGAACTCCGTGGTAAATGAATACATAAAATAGTGTAAGGGCCAGATGACATCCCTGATGCACCCCAAACATGAACAGAAAATGGCTCTGATACCTGGCCACACAACTTTACCCAGGCCTGCCCACTATCACAAAGGTCCTTATTGATTGTGACCAGACAGTTTGCAACCCAGAAAGCACGAATAACCCAGAGCCCTGGCTTATTGATGGTATCATAGGCCTTGACCAGGTCCATCAAGCAGAGATGTAGGTCTTGTTGAAATTCTTTACACCTCTGCTGAAACATACAGACAAAGAAAATGTCATCCATTCAGGACCGCCCCAGTCTGAAACCACATTGGGGTTCTGCAAGCTTCTCTTCAGCATGTCTGGAAAGGTGATGTTGAATGATTTTTGCCATGACCTTTCACGGCACACTGAGGAAGGAGATTCCCCAGTAGTTGTTTCAATCAGTGCAGTCTCCATTTTTTATGGGGATCACCAGGGCACCCATCCTGTGTACCAAACAGTTGTAATAAAGTAATATAGGTCAGTCTGCAAGCTTCGGATCAACATTCGCACTCACTTCCTGAACAGATGGCAAGTCAGCCAACCACTCTCAAGGAGTGGCTACTTTCTTTAGCACTGCACAGCTCTCCGAACCTCTGAGCAAAGGCTGCGGGTACACCTCCTCGTTCTTGGACGTGAGATGTTGTAGACGATGGAAGTGGGCCTGCCTCTTTCAACGAGCCAGAACACCTCCTCAATTAGCCAGGGTTTCTGTCGAGGTCTGGACTGCGTAGCCACTGCAGCCATAGGGGCTGCATGAGTCCGCTATCTTAAGACTCACCCATTTTCCCTTGGCATCAGAAGGGGGGGAAGATTCCATCTCCAGTTGCAAGTGATGAACTTTCCGCTTGCAACCTTTATCAACTAGGTGAGACCAGGCTGTTGTGGGTATGAGTGGGGTTCTTGATGGATGATTGCCACCACAGTGTAAGTATGGTAGGATCATCTTACAGATGAAAAAACAATAGTAGGCAGGAAGATCAGCTCGACGGTAGATCCTGGTGTCGAGGACATGGGCCAACATTTGCTTTTCCGTAACTATGTAGTCCAGCAGATGTTTTTTTATTGGACCCGCCGTGCATCCATGATGTGTGAATCCACCGATGCAGGAACAGTGTTTTCGGTGATTAAAAGCCCATGGGCTGCACAGAAGTCTAGCAGCCTTCTACTGTTGTTATTGAACTGATCTGGCCCATGCCTTCCAAACACTCCAGACCAGGTGTCTGCGTCATGACCCACTCGGGCAATAAATTCACCCAACAGGATGACTATTCCGAGGGGCCACTTTAGTCAGCATCTGGTAAAGGTCATAGAAGGCTTCTAACACATCAGCCTTGTCTGCAACCCTCCAATGATGTTACATCATCAGTGGGGGTGTAAGCCACCACGATCATCCCTCTCCTCCAGTTGATGGGTGAACGAGCCAACAATAGTCTGGGACGTTCAGCATACCACACCTTGCATCCATGCTCCCATACCCCCTTCATAATTTTGTTCAAAATAAGTGCCACTCCCTGTCGTTTGGCAGTTTCCTGCTCTTAGTGGAGAACTTTCCACCCTTCATGGTGACTGGATCCAGAACCAATCCACTGAATCTCCTGTATACCACAGATGTCCAAGCGGCACTGGTCCAGCTCCCATTCATATACACATGCACACTCATACATAACCATATACATGTGCACACTCAACAACCGCCATTCGACACTAAGTGGCGGTGACATCACCACGATGCTTGTGCCAGGCCATGTGCACCTTGAGGCCACGTGAAGTGTCGAACGCCCACTGGCAGGTCACAGGGCAGACCCAGATGCCACAGCTCGACTGACTGAGACAACTGGCTGACGCACCACCTGTGCCCCCTACTATGCCAACATGCTATGCTTTAGCCACCTGGCGCTCCGCTCGTTGTTGTGAGCGTGGCTCCTCCGCCCTCCGTTGTTGTTAAGAGGGCGACTGCCTCCAACTGCCCAGTAGCATCCTTCACGAGCCTCCTCCACAGAGGCTGATCTTGACACTGCTGATACCAGTCATCGGCAAGTCCAATCAGCTCCACATCCTCCTGTACCAAATCACTCCATCTCTTCTCTAGCCCGTGCCGCGCCCATTTAGTCCCTTCGATCCGGCCGAACAAGATCTGTTTAGGCATGCGGTGGCTGGGCATGCGGGCTACATGGCCCAGCCAACGCAGCCTTGCCTGCCGTAGGAGCTCACTGATGGTACTTTGTCCAGATCTTTCAAGGATTTGTAAGCTCCTCACACAATCCAGCCTGGTTAAACCCAAGATGGATCGTAGGCAGGCCAGCCTAAATGTTTTTAACCTGAGAAGATGCTCCATTAGGGGGGTCCACGTTTTGCAATCGTAGAGAAGGGAGGGAATAACTGTGGCCAAGAAGACCTGAAGCTTAGTGCGGAGCGAGAGACCATGGTACCTTCCACACAGCGTTACGCAACCGATGAAAAGATAATGCTGCTCGACTGATTCGGAGTGAGACCTCTGCTGTTAAACTGGAGCCGGTCATGAGCACACTGCCCAGGTATGGGAAACTCTCCACTCTCTCCACAATTGCCCCATCACCAATTGGGAGTTGTGGGGGTGGAGTGTCCAATGGTACAAAATACCCAGGCAGGTGCTTAGTTTTGGTGGGGCTGATGGTAAGGCCCCACCTCTTAGTGGCAAGCTGCAGGTTCAGCAGCAGCGCCTCCAACTTCTCCCCTGAGTGAGCAGCAATAACCAGATCATCGGCATACATAACATGGTTGAGCAATAGGGAGCAATCCCTTGACGACATCTGGGCATCGATCAGCCTCCCATTGTATCTGTACCAGATGGAAATTCCTCCAAGTACAGCTATTGAAGGCTTCACGAACTACATGGTCAAAATAGATGTTAAATAATGTGGGAGCAAGAGGACATCCCTGTCGCACATACATGTGCACACTCACATATAACCATACAGACATGCACACTCGCACGTAACCATACACACATGTGGAAAAGAGGTCCACACGTCATTTCCTTGAGAGGTACTTTATTCTTCTTGGTTCTTTCGGTAATGTCACGTAGAATGGAAATAAAATAATAACGTGACTTTACCGAAAGAACCACGCAGATGAATCCCTGCAGTCACGAAAGCTTTAAATCGAAATTTAGGTACTTTATTATTCAGCAGTCTTTACCACACACGTGCACTCTTCCACACTCCGTTCCACCGCACGCATCTCCCTTTGCAATCCCCGCAACAGCCCCATGATCATGCCATGCACCATTAAATCACTCTCCTCTTGAACCTTCTAGAATCCCCCCTAAACTCCACACATGTTTACCTCTTTCACTTTTCACCTATTTATCGACATCTGAACGTCTTTATTTCTCGTTCCTATGTTTAACTCTTGCCCTTTTGAATTCGCTGGCCAATCCCCTGGTCCTTTACTCATCCTGGAATGGCAGTCGGAGCAGCTAATCAGGGCTCTCAGTCTTACATGCTGCCAGTCGAGCCCCCTCGATTCGCCTCGTCTCCAGTGTCGGCAACCCCTTTCTTGGCCCTTCTGCTGTTTCATGTATACTTAGTGGGGAGTACTTCTAGGTGTCCCTTACACATACAGTGAGGGATATAAGTATTTGATCCCCTGCTGATTTTGTACGTTTGCCCACTGACAAAGAAATTATCAGTATATAATTTTAATGCTAGGTTTATTTGAACAGTGAGAGACAGAATAACAACAACAAAATCCAGAAAAACGCATGTCAAAAATGTTATAAATTGATTTGCATTTTAATGAGGGAAATAAGTATTTGACCCCTCTGCAAAACATGACTTAGTACTTGGTGGCAAAACCCTTGTTGGCAATCACAGAGGTCAGACGTTTCTTGTAGTTGGCCACCAAGTTTGCACACATCTCAGGAGGGATTTTGTCCCACTCCTCTTTGCAGGTTTTCTCCAAGTCATTAAGGTTTCGAGGCTGACGTTTGCCAATTCGAACCTTCAGCTCCCTCCACAGATTTTCTATGGGATTAAGGTGTGGAGACTGGCTAGGCCACTCTAGGACCTTAATGTTCTTCTTCTTGAGCCACTCCTTTGTTGCCTTGGCCGTGTGTTTTGGGTCATTGTCATGCTGGAATACCCATCCACGACCCATTTTCAATGCCCTGGCTGAGGGAAGAAGGTCATCACCCAAGATTTGACGGTACATGGCCCCGTCCATCGTCCCTTTGATGCGGTGAAGTTGTCCTGTCCCCTTAGCAGAAAAACACCCCCAAAGCATAATGTTTCCACCTCCATGTTTGAGTGGGGATGGTGTTCTTGGGGTCATAGGCAGCATTCCTCCTCCTCCAAACACGGCGAGTTGAGTTGATGCCAAAGAGCTCCATTTTGGTATCATCTGACCACAACACTTTCACCCAGTTGTCCTCCGAATCATTCAGATGTTCATTGGCAAACTTCAGACAGGCATGTATATGTGCTTTCTTGAGCAAAGGGACCTTGCGGGCGCTGCAGGATTTCAGTCCTTCACGGCGTAGTGTATTTCCAATTGTTTTCTTGGTGACTATGGTCCCAGCTGCCTTGAGATAATTGACAAGATCCTCTCGTGTAGTTCTGGGCTGATTCCTCACCGTTCTCATGATCATTGCAACTCCACGAGGTGAGATCTTGCATGGAGCCCCAGGCCAAGGGAGATTGACAGTTCTTTTGTGTTTCTTCCATTTGCGAATAATCGCACCAACTGTTGTCACCTTCTCACCAAGCTGCTTGGCAATGGTCTTGTAGCCCATTCCAGCCTTTTGTAGGTCTACAATCTTGTCCCTGACATCCTTTGAGAGCTCTTTGGTCTTGGCCATGGTGGAGAGTTTGGAATCTGACTGATTGATTGCTTCTGTGGACAGGTGTCTTTTATACAGGTAACAAGCTGAGATTAGAAGCACTCCCTTTAAGAGTGTGCTCCTAATCTCAGCTCGTTACCTGTATAAAAGAAACCTGGGAGCCAGAAATCTTTCTGATTGAGAGGGGGTCAAATACTTATTTCCCTCATTAAAATGCAAATCAATTTATAACATTTTTGACATGCGGTTTTCAGGATTTTGTTGTTGTTATTCTGTCTTTCACTGTTCAAATAAACCTACCATTAAATTATAGACTGATCATTTCTTTGTCAGTGGGCAAACGTACAAAATCAGCATGGGATCAAATACTTTTTTCCTCTCACTGTATATCAACAACAGCCGCCATTTGTCTATAAGTGGCAGTGACATCACCATGGTGCTTGTGCCAAGCCAGGTGCACTTTGAGGCAATAACGTTGAGTGTGACAGTCTTGCTGACAGGTCACAAGATTAGCAACATACATACGAGATAGATATAATGGGTTTGCGGACTAAGATGATTGCACCACCTGTGTAACCCACTGTGCTACTTTTCAGAGTTTTAGCCACGAACACTCTGCTCGTTGTCCAGTAGCATCTTTAACGAGCCTCCTCCACAGAGGCCAATCAGCTCCAAATTTCGCTGTACCACCATCAGTCCATGTCTACTCTAGCCCGTGCCATGCCTGTTTATCCCCCTCTATCCGGTTAAAGAGAAGCTGCTTGGTTCATGATGTGCACACGTCCATGACTTACCATCTTCACCACTTTCTTTTCCTTCTTGTTTTTCCAGATCAGCATCAACAGCTGGCTTCGGCTGTATTATGTCGTCGTCTTCCTCATTGACTTGTAAAACAATCATAAAAGCGTCATATTAACTTCACACATAGGTTTTTGCAGCAATATTTCCATTCATAATATATATATATTTGGGATTAGGTTATGTAATGATTTGACTAAATTGATGTAAGACCCTCCTCCACCAGACACAGCCAAATGTTCACTCATACAAGTGTTTAGTGCACCATTGTTTCAGATCAATGGAAAGTGGAACAATCTCACAGCCAAATTGACTAATTAGAGTAAATTTCCCTTGAAACTGTGTTTCAAGAGACAGAATCCAGGAATTTAGAATAAATTCTAGGACGTTAAAGGTATTTGCATGGAAAAGAAAACCCAGATTCTTAAATTGCTTCAGCCCATCATTCCACTGGGGACATTAAAATAGGAACCACTTTGTGAGAATGATCAACAATTGCTGCCCTAAGGATAGACTCACCCCCACTATAGGAATGTGGAATATCCACAGTAACTTCCTCAAGCCTGTAAATAAATAAGAATATTTGGTATTTGCACCATTCTTACAGTGCAAATGATATCATGAAGGCACTATGGTTATGCTTTGTGAGCTTTACTGAACATTTCAGTTTTGAGTCAACTCAAGATGGTTGGCTACGTACAGTGCAAAAGAAGTTCAACATACATACTAAAAGTGATCAGCAGTAAATTCCACGTAGATGGGCCAGACACCACAAATATGAGTGGGTGAGTGGCTGAGTGAGCAGGAGGGGATCGGTGGTGTAGTGGTTAGCGTGGTGTGCTATGAACCCGGTAGCCCGAGTTTGATTCCTGCTCACGGTCAACACCAGTGATGAATATCTGAACTGGTCCTGGGCTTCCCCTAGGTCGACTGAGCCTCAAATGAGTATCTGGTGCAGTGTGTAAACATCACCACTGGGGAGAAAAAGACAGGCCATCCACCGGCCTTCATAGGTGCTCGCCAACAGCACTTGCCCCAACAGTCTATTAAGGCTATAGGGGGGATCTTTGTCTTTGAGTGAGCGGGTCAGTACGTAAGGGAGTAGATGGACTCTACACCGCAAGCCTGCAGGGGCCGTACCTTGATTTTTGATATGTGGGATTAAATCTAGATTTGAAGCTTTTGTGACTGCAGGAATCCATACTCTTTGTTTCTTTCGGTAAAGTCACATAGGTATAAAATAAAATAAATCACGACGTTTCGATTGCAACACAAGCAATCATCATCAGGTGGGAAAACCACAGCAAGAAAAAATATACTTCGGCAAAAAAATTTCCTGCTGTGGTTTTCCCACCTGATGATGCTTGTGTTGCAATCGAAACGGCGTGATTGATTTTATTTTATACCTACGTGACTTTACCGAAAGAACCAAAGAGTATGTGGGATTAAGTTAACAGAAATGTAAACAGGAGGTAAGCACTGTCTTAATGCTCATTTAAGCAAGCTCTCACTGGGACTTATTATACAGGAAAACCTCGCAAAACGCAGTTTTATCTAAACCGTGCTTTGGCTACACATGGTTTACTTAATGATAACTGTTTTCCGGAACATGCGGGTGATGCTTCCGTTGCACGTGGCTTGACATTGCTAAGATAGAAGTGAGAATGCTGCATCCGTTGGAAGGTACTAAGGGTGTGGATTAATCGACTGTGAGAATTATTTATTTACCACATATGTTTTTGTGTAAATATTATTTGTGCATGTTTTTTTTTCAAAGGTTCACACCCATTGCCACATGCGTCTTGCCGTCCACACATTACGGACGTCAGTTATAGGCGAGGATCGGCGCAAGTGGTGCGGGAAGAGTAATGGAGACGCGGATTTTGTGAAATTGAAAAAGTGTACACACACACAAGAAATGGAGATACTCAACATTCATTAGCACAATAACAATTGGAGGGAATTATGAAGAGTTAGTTAAACAAAAAGGGGGTGATAAATTTGGGCCCAGGAACGCAACCCTATTTTTCCCATCAGGTATATTAATTGTCGAATGCAATGTTGCCCAACATGCTATTTCATATTCTTAGCTCTTTCGGTAAAGTCACGTAGAAGGGAAACAATAAAATAATAAAATATATATAAAACAACAAAATATATATAAACAACATAACCCCCGTGTCTGGCAAGATTTTCCTGTACAATGCTACATTGCAGTCGGGGTGGAAATAAGCCATTCCCTTATAATATCCTTACCATCTGTTTGCTGAGCTATGACAGGGGTCTGTGTTTCCTTGGCATATGACACCATTTCTCTGGCTGGCAAGTCGACGTGAGATACCTTGGTCATGCTGAGCTTCACTGCACGGCGGCTGCAATACACCAGACAGCTCAGAAGATAGCAGTCATTAAAACAAAACTATATCTGTATTTATTACATTTGATATTCACGCCATTCTTATAGTACAATGCTATCATGAAGATTATTATGTCTGTACGTATGTTCAACTTCTTTCGCACTGTACGTAGCCAACTGTGCTAATCGGAGGTATTTCACAGAGAGTCTACAGTCATGTGTCAGTTGTGACGATGTTGCAATGTGTAATTGAAATGAGTAATTTACAGAAAATATTTTATCACTGGAATGTTTGGCCAATACCAGTTACACTATGTTTTTTTGTTTACTATGGGAGAAAACTGGAGAACATGGAGGAAAGCCATGCAGAATAGGGGGAAAACATTTATAGAGACCAGAAAGGTGCCTGAGTCGGGAATCTAACCGAGGCCCTTCTTGTTACCACTAGGCCACCCTGTATTTATGTGTGTGTATATATGAGTAAATATATGCGTGTGCATTTGAGTATATAGTCATAATAGCCAAGTGATAGAAAACTAAATTAGTTTTACTTCAACAGGTAAGGTCTACTGAGCTATATAGATTATTTTCACAAGCAACCTGGCCACAAACACATGTTTCTAAATTTGGAGGGGAAACACCGAGGAGCTGGAGAAAAATCCACACAACCACGGGCAGAACATGCAAACTCCACAGTCGGGATCGAACCCACGACCTCTTGTATAGCAGGCAAGGACGTTAAAATCTCACCACCACATCTATGGTGGCATGGGATTGATTGCGGACTTGATGAAATTTAGTGGAAAAGAAAAAGGAGGGAGAGGGGAGAGGCGGAGAAGAAACCAAAGGTTCGGGTTGGTGGAAAGGAGATTAGAGCAACCATCTGAAAGGTTCCAGGAAAATCGACAAGGATAAATAATAAAGGGGGACGCATGCTCGGGGCTCTTTGACAGGTGGCTTCCTACGAGTGCGTGTGTGGTACAGTGTCAGGGATTTTTAATCAAGCCCTTACTCGAAGATCACCTCGTGTGGACTCCCTTTCATGAAGTTGGATTGCCAGTGTACTGCTAACCATTACAAAATGGCAACTACACTTGTGTAAGTGTGAGTGTATATATGTATATGTGTGTGGAGAATCCATGAGGTTTTTTTGGGTTAGATCGCATAAATATATAAAAGTGTTGTTACAACCCGCCACCACCCAAAACAGCCAACTAGTAAGGGTTGTCATATAAACAGAACGTGCCAATTCGTTACGAGTACAGCACACCGGTGTGTTGGAGAGCCAAGCCACAACATTTACAATCCGAGTACGACGTTTCGCCAGTATTTACAACAAGCTTCATCAGGACAGCCAGATTTGTGGAGAAGTCTAACTGTTTCGTTCCTTATATAGAGGCGTAGATGTGGTGACCACGCTTCTGCGTTCTCGCGCTAAGTGGGGGGGGGGGATTACTGAGGCAACGTACAATATGCATGCGCAATATGCAAGCCCTTTGATCTTGTCCTTCTTGTCTAACGGTAATACCTAATGAAGTATGCTGCCCTTTATTGGCATGCATTTAAATAATGTATTATTTGATGATTCGCTTCCATGCAGCACTAAGGCGGTAGCTATCCAAACGGTAAAAATAATTTGGATTTCTTTCAATTTCGATAGATTCTCTAATTAGTCTTGGCCAGAAGTAAGCTTGTTTTGCACAGAACTTCAACATGATCAAAATCAATTGAGTGTATTGTTGGCACGCGTGTTCTGCCACTGCTGCCAGTTTTATTTGGGATAATTTAATATTTCTCTGATGTTATTTTAGTCTCGTGCTGATTATTCGTTCTGTTTGCACAACATAACATTTAGCACACGTGCAGTTAATCCTGTAAACACCGTCTGTTGATAGCTTCGGTAATACATCTTTTATATCAGATATTACTTTCTGTATTTTATGTACAGTGCCAAATCTGACTCGGATGTTTTGTTTTTCCAAACATCTGGCTAGTTTATCAGTGACTCCCGCAATGTACGGTATTTTGATCGTTTTAATTACTTGGGCAGTTTCAATGCTCGTGTTATTTGATTTGGTTTTGGCATTCAACGCCCTGTTGATTTGTGCATCATTGTAACCGTTCATTTGCAGCGCTTCTTTAACATGTTGAATTTCACTTCTCAGACTGTCACCATCTGACACTTTCTTAGCTCGATGAACGAGCGTCTTGATGAGAGCAGATTTCTGTGCGGGGTGATGGTGTGACTCTTTATTCAGATAGGCATCAGTATGCATTTTTTTTCGGTAAACAGTGTGTTATTTTTCCATTTTGACCCCGTCCGAGCAGAATATCAAGAAATGGTAGAGTTCTATCAGTTTCCACTTTCATGGTGAACTGGATGGATGGGTTTTGCGAGTTGAGATTATTTAGAAAAGCGTTCAGTGTATCTTTGCCGTGTGGCCAGACCACCAATGTGTCATCCACATATCTAAACCAAGCAGATGGTTTTAGTGTGCTTGAAGCTATTGCTTTTGTTTCAAAATCTTCCATGTACAAATTCGCTATCACAGGAGACAAAGGAGAGCCCATTGCTGCTCCTTCCTTTGTTTATAGAAGTCACCTTGCCACAAGAAGTAGGTGTTCTTTAGACAGTGTTCAGCTAGTCTTGGGATATCTTTGGCTAAACCTTTGTTCATTACCAGTGTCGAGTAATTGATTTGACTCGTTGACCAGAACCCTCGTGAACAGAGAATTCACATCAAAACTTATGAGAATATCATTAGGGTTAAGCTTAATATCTTTAATTATATTTACGAGATGTTCAGAGTTTTTTATGAACGAACAGGTCCTACCGATATAGGGCTGTATTTGTTTCGTTACATATTATGCTAATTTGTACGTGGCAGAGCCTATTGTACTATGGGTCTTAGATTTGTGAATTTTTGGTAGCCAATAAAGTCTTAGGTAGCCCATAAAGTCTTAAACTGTGTGGAGAATAGTGGCCATTGTTATTTGTGTTTATGTGACTGTGCATATCTGTCACTATATTAAAGTGTGTGTGTATAGCCCTTCGTTAGTTCTTAGCGATTTCCAGTTTTCCTAGCGTTTTAAACAGGTTAGTTTTTGCTAGCGTTCATTGGCACGTTTGTTAGCGTGTGTTAGCATGGGTTTGTTGGCTAACATGTGTATGTTTATGTGCACGTGTGTATGTATATATATGCTGGTTTGCTAACACACGTGTTTGTGTATTTGTGTGCGTGTTCATGTGTGCCATGTTTTTACATTTAATGTTTGAAGTACTACACACTAAAGAAGTTTACAGTCCAGTAGGGTACAGTAGTTTGTAAGTACAATGTAGTGCATAGTGTACAGTAGTGTGTTGTATACAATATTCCCTCGTAATTCACGAACTTCCTATGCGTGATTTTGGCTATCCAGAAATTGCATCTAGAACTCTACACGAGTGCATCGAGAGATAGAAAGAAAGTGATGAGAAAGAATGTGATGCGACAAAGGGATGAGATAAAGTGAGCCAACCCATTACACCTGAGTCTGTCCTCATGCCAGTGAGCATTCCTTACTTCACGTGGTCTCACGGTGTACCTAGCATGGCACAAGCAGTCATGATGTCACCGCTGCTTAGTGGTGAATGGCAGCAAACACGGTTGGCTACGTACCGTGCGAAAGAAGTTTAACATACATACATATTTGTGTGCTGAGCACAGGCCCTAAGGACCAAAAAGTAAAATGGCCAGCAGCAAAAAGCACTATACAAGTTGTAACAGTCAAGTTTCTCAAATCCCCCACACCGCCATCCACCCAGCAGTATAAATGGGTACATCACAGGCTATGATCAACAGGTCATGTGTGGTGGGGTAAATCTTAGGTACAGACTTGATACCTGAGTTCAGAATCTGTGTGCAGCTGCAACGCTGCAGGGTCTGTATCCCATTGAAGTGTCCTGCACATAACGAAATGTAACAAACATAAATCAGTGCAAAAACAACCAAACAAAAATCGCAGCCAAAACAGTAAAATAGAATTCAGAGAAAAAATCTAATCAGTAGAAGTTGGATTAAGAAAATAAACAATCAAAATAGAAAGCAGAGAACATACAATACAATCAAAATTGTGGAAAAATATCCTCGATGCAGATTAAATCTTTAAAAAGGCACAAACATAATTGAGCATTAAATTAAATATATTTATTGAAACACATTTTGCCTATTCTTAGCTCTTTCGGTAAAGTCACGTTGAAGGGAAACAATAAAATAATAAAAAATATATAAAACAATAAAAATTCTCACGTTTCGACCATAACACAAACGGTCGTCATCAGGTGTGTCGGTTTGCATTAATGTATTTATTTTTAAACGGTGCATTTATTTATTTATAAAAAACGTCAGCGCCACGCGCAGCGATTTGGCAGTTTATTTAGAGGGACTAGTCCATCTATGTTCTGAAAAGAGGAGGGGGGAGACGAAAAATTAATGTATGCTGTCTGAAAGCCACTGTAAGCGTGAACAATCAATTGAGACCTGAAATGGTTTATCAAATCTTTCCAATGATTGCTAAGCCAGAATCCATCTTCTCGGTTGAAATTGTCTCTGTGCTTGTATATGTGGATAGCCTCATGAACGAATCTCTCATGGTAGCCAGATGGCTTACAAAGAACCTCTGTCTTGGAAAATCAATGTCATGTGAGCCTACTGAATTATAACAATGATCTGCCACCGCCGAGGTGTTGGTCCTACCGTGTTTAAGGTCTGCTTTGTGTTCACGAATGCGGTCCGAGACATGGCGTTTGGTTTCTCCAATGTAACTACAACCACAGAGGCAACTTAGTTTGTAGACACCAGGGTACTGTATGTCCGGAATCACATCTTTTACAGACGGAACCAGATCACGGATTTTATGTAATGTGTTGAAACGGACCTGGATCTTGTGTTTATTCAAGATTTTGGAGATCTTTTTGTGATCCCCGCAATGTAGGATAAAGTGATGGTTTGACTTTACCGAAAGAGCTAAGAATATGAATTACTGCAGTCACGAAAGCTTTAAATCACATTTTGCCTTTTAAAAATATTTTTTAAAACCATTCATTGTAAAATTAAATTACATCAACGTGGATTGTGAGCGATTTCTACACTGGTCTTTAAACAGGCAAAATTGAGGAAGACACAAAATCTGCATACCTGACCCCAGGTGGCACCTCACCAAAGTCTTGACTTCCTGCCTCGCTGGGAGTGCTGAGTGATTTGGAGGAGGTAGGTGACATGGGAGGTGGAACTAAATAATGAAATAAACACGTATCCCATGTTACGACCCTTAGTGGATGACCTAATGATGATTTGATGATAGGGTGCAAATGAATGGGTAAAAAAATATATGGAATGTTTTGGGAAAAAATGGAAGTATGTAAAAATGGAGAGAAATAAGGGAAGAAAAAAAACAAATATCAAATTAATTTTAAATTATTTAAATACTTCACCTTGAAAATAGAGTTTTGCCTATCTAGGGCCATATGAAGAGAGCATTGATTCAAGCAAGCCTGACTGGTGATTAAACACGGAATGTCAAAACCGGTCCAGAGTTTGCTGGTGTATAAACGATGCTGCTGATATTATGCAGTCCCAGAAGGTCGTGTCGCTGATGGGATGCGTAAAAAAATATAAAAAATGTTCACGAGGGGACGGATACAGAAAGGAGGCATATTGTCTGCTTATTGTTACTTATAGATGATTTTCCACACTTGCAAAGAATCTTTCTTTACATTTGTAACTAACCACTAACATGGATGAACACATATCTATACCATAAAAAGGCAGCATTACACAACACCACTCATGAAAATGGGTGTAATTACCATATTTCACGGAGCACAGAGCGGTCATGTTTATTAGTATGTTTTGCATAACCAGTAAACACATGAAAAAAGCGCTAAAACTATAGTTACTGGTATGCCAGACATATCGAAATTACTACAGCAATAAACATGAAATGTTACCCTTTATATAAAGAAACATATGGAGCTACTGTGGTGTAATGATTAGGACATTAGACTTGCAGTCCAGGGATCACAGGTTTGCCTCCACCCCTTGGAACGACAGTTTAAACAATGGGGGAATTTACCTAAATCCCCTTACTTCTGTCCAACCAGCAGCATAAATGGAAAGGCTCACCACATTTCGCATGTGGTGGGGTAAAGTGTGGGTAAGCCCACCTCTTCTAACATGTCTTGTTAGGGTGGATGAGTAGATCAACTAACTACTATAGCTCCCTTTAGTGGAGGCCATTCTGCCAGCAATGAAAGAAAGTCATTACAGGGCTGCACCTTTTCCGTTTAATGGGCTAATGTATCCTGTTTCTGGTTTGTACATTTGCACGAGCCAATCAGTCAATTTTTGACTAAAATTTATACTGGAATTGATTGGCGATTCATGACTTTTTGAACCAGTTATCAATCCTGAAAGTGGTTACCAGTCTACGGGTTGTCATTTAACAACCCTAGTTATACCAGTTTCACATTTGATAACAAAAAAAATAAGATTACAACTCATAATATATATTTTGGGTTAGGCCACACCATTATCTGGCCAAGTTGTTGTCATAAAACCCTTCACCACCAGACACAGGAATACAAATAAAATGATCACGTGTACAATAATTGAATGTGCCAAATAGTATTATTTCACTGTACCGGTAAGTTGAAGAACAACATATCTCACAACCAAATTTAACAATTAGATTCAACGTTTCATTTCAAACTGTGTTAAGTATCTTCATATCACAAACCAGGAAGTCAGAATCATGTCACCTGACATGCCTTCTTAAATTGGTGTAATGACAGCATATGAACCAATACGATGCATTGATCATTGCAAATGAATGTATTCTAAGTTAATTCTAAATTATATGGGCCAATGGTTCATATAATATATACTTCTCATCATAAATACTCACGAGGCAGTAGCAGGTGTTAAACATGTTATAACAGTAGACTATTGACATATATCACCTACAGTACTTCTCAATCATATTTCTAAGCCACACTTAAAATACATATATCACAATAACAAATCATTTTACTTCCATCTCAATGGATCCCATAATTACTCTTTGCCAATAAAGTTGGCTTCACAAAACAGTCACACTGTCAAAGGCCTTGTTTATGATACAAGTATGGTTGATGCATTGACTTAGTTATAAACGTCAGGTATATAACTTAGTTAGAAACGTCGTGTATATAATTGGCTTAGTTAGAAACGTCGTGTATATAATTAACTTAGTTAGAAACGTCGTGTATATAATTAACTTAGTTAGAAACGTCGTGTTTATTATTGATTTAGTTAGAGATGTTATGTACATAATTCACTTATACATGTCGTGTATATAATTCACTTAGAAACGGCGTGTATATAATTAACTTCGTTACAAACATCGTGCATATAATTCACTTAGAGACGTCGTGTATATAATTCACTTAGAGACGTCGTGTATATAATTGCTAAATTCTGTTGTGTGAATTGTTTTTCAACTTGCAGGCGAGTTGAAACAATGGTGCTTTAGGGACTTGTACGAGTGGGAATTTCATTTGTTTGCTTATGTAGGGTGGGGGGGTACAACCAAAATATGGGCAGATAATTGTGGCCCAACCCGAAAATGTATTCCGATTCATAATAGTGGATGTGAAAAGCTAAATGTTAAACAAGAGACATTCACTCACTGTAATGATCAGTCCAATGGTCATCTGGCAAATCATGCAGTAGTGATGAAAACATGGGAAGAAACAGCAACATAAATTGGACAAAACGATATGATGACAGCAACGGAAGATGGTTAATGCTTGAGACAGACATGTATGAAGCAATGACATACATACTACAAGAACACATCAATTTGCGCATCCGTCAGCTGCACATGTATGTATAGTTGAAACTCCAATAATAACTCTGGTCTTTAAACTGTCCCTCGAGTAAAACCCAAACAGGCACACTTTCACACAAACCTACTTCAACGTGGAACGAGCTCCCAGATACACGAACACATGCCACTTGTCTCAACTCATTTAAAGCTATCATTAAAAGAAACTCACTCAACATGTGCAACTGTAATAGCTATAAAAGCATTACACATCATTTAACAATTGTATGTATTTGTTATTTGTGTGTTGAAATGGGTGTGATGTTAATTGAATAAACACATTGTATAAGCTATTGATTTGGCTTGCTTGAGCCAATGGTTAACTGCCAAATGTTCCAAGGCAAGGACCCTCCATGTTAGATCTGGGTCTTAGTTAAATGCAAAACTATATAATACTTAACACAAATTAATAATTCGAATTATTGACAATATTAATAACACACGAAATCAGCAAACAATGCATCACCTTCCCATATCTGTCCCCCACATGTAAAATACGTTAATTTTTCACATCTTATAGGCCACACACACGAGTTTCTGTGAGCACATAATTTCAGCAGTATGGGTTCAATGCAAACAAACTCAGGACTGGTGTTCACATAACCTGAGAGAGGCCTTACCACCCTGCTGTCGTGAAACTGTAGAACCAGGCGAGTACTGAATGCTATTTGCTCAAGTGTCATCTAAGCCGTTGGTCTCCGCGGTATAGCTTTTTATAAATATGAAGACTTTGTTTTTGGTGGCCATTACATTGGCCCAGAGGATCGGGGAGGTGCAAGCATTGCTGGACCACCCTCCTTTTGTCGACTTTCAGCAGACAAGGTGGCATCACGAATATCGCCTAAGTTCCTGCCCAAGATGGCCTCGTTTCATTTGCAGCAGAAACTGCACCTTCCCTTCCTTATGGCTGGTGCTTTTTGCATCTAAGCACTCTAGATGTGGTGAGATCTATAAAGCTATACATACAGAGCTTGGCCAGTTGGTCCCAGTTACAGTAGATGTTTGTGCCCTATGGTGGGGCTACTAGGGGGCAATTCGGCCTGGCCTCCCAAGGTATCGATATCACCGTTGCTTAGCAACTGTATCACAGCATTATAGGCTGACCAAGAAGACCCCTCCGCAGGGCCTTCAGGCCGACTGCACCAGGGTGGTGGTGATCTACTAACGTAAGTCACATTCGTGACGTAATAGCTAATAAGACCTTTGTGGATGCTGGTAACGTCTCCCAAAAAACTGTCTTTCGGTGATTAGGTCTGTGCTCAGCATCTGTGTTAAAAATGTCGAAGTGATTTCCTGCTCAAGTGAGCATTGAGGCAGTACTCATCTCCTATTTAAAGCCCTGAGCCAGTGGTGGAAATTCCATGTTCCTATGACAGGGGGGGCGGGGTCTCTTATCAGACATCACTGTTTATCTTCCCCGCAAAATCGGCTGTGTCAACCCCAAACCAATAAATGTTTGTATAAAATAGGTTACACATTGTCCTCATCCCAGACCTCTGATTAGCACGGTTGGCGATGTACAATGCGAAAGAAGTTAAACATTCATACATTAAGTCTTCATGGAAAAAAATAACTGCATTACGTAAATTAATAAATGCATGTTCTGAACATTAGTTTGTCAAATGAGTTATATAGCTTTATGTCGAACTAGAATCCATATATAAGAGAGGGTCCTTACCTCTAAACATCTGGTAGTTTACCAACATTAGTTCATGCGAGCCGGACTATGTTGATTAGACACTCAATGTTGAAACCACCCCAGAAAGCTTCTTGTGTCAAAGCAATGTGAGTGAAATTACATACTCCTAGAAAGCCATGTGGCTGATGGGATGTGTAATATAAATGCTTTTACTTTTTATGGTCGGAGACCGGTTTATAAAGAATGTGTATTGTCTTCTCATTTATTCTCACCTAGATTCTTCACAAGACTAATAATTTATCCTGGTATCTATTATATCTACATTCCTTTGAAGGCCACCATGTTATTGATGCATGTGCTAGGTTTTCTGTGTAGGCAAGAACTTCTGATGAGTACCATACAGGATGAATCAACATAATAAACGATATAATAATTTTTGAACAAATTAACAATCACCCTACCAATCATATGAATCAAATACTGCAGGCCTGGCAACACAACACATAGCCAGGTAACTCATCATATGCCCATCTCAGAACTGGTTATCAGAAACCATTTTTAAAATGTATTTCTCAACAAGCCCCATTATATATTCTTGGTTCTTTCTGTAAAGTCACATAGAAGGGAGACAATAACATAATACAAATATTATGTCAAGTGCTGTCTCCAACCCTTCCATAATAATATTTTTTTCGGGTTAGATCGTGTAAATATAAATGTGTCGTTAAAGCCCGCCATCACCCGACACAGCCAATTAGTAAGGTTGTCACGTAACAAAACATGCCAATTTGTTACGAGTACAGCACACCGGTGTGTAGGGGAGCAAAACCACAACAATTACTGATTGACTGTGTTGGGTGGTGGTGGGTTTAACAACACATTTATATTTCCGTGATCTAACCAAAAAACAAGCTACATTATGGATGATATTGGTCGCGAAAGCCTATGTGTTAAACTCTCAACCCTTATGAACTTTGTCTCTCTGGCCTCTATCTATTTGCTATGAACAAGGGCCATTGCCTGAAACGTTATCAATTATGTTTTTATTTTAAGGTAGTGTTGTTCATGAGTGTGTTTAGTTTTTATTGTCGTGGGTGAGTAGTACTGATGAGCACTATTGGAGGAGATTCTAGTGTCAACGAATCTCTAGGATCAATATAAAATCAACGGAGACAATGTCTACCTATACTATCAAGTCTCAACAGGTATGTATCTCCAATAGAATTCAATTTAGTTTTTTGTCCTTCCTCGCACCTATGATGAGCACGATTGGTTACGTACGGTGCGAAAGAAGTTCAACATACATGCATACAATAGGCTGCTTACCTAATGGGGGTTCAGGTGGGATGCCAATGCTGTGAAGTAGGGCCTCAGTCTCCCTTCTCTTCCGTTCCAAGTCAGATTCATCAAATACCGTCTCTCTCTTCATTTCCGCCTGTCATGTGCAACATGTCAAATGGATTATAAAGTGAATATTCCATGCTTACATTGATATATGAAAATATCACATAAGGCTGGCAATTGCACAGTTCTTCCCATCATATTTAACAATAATATTCTTATCCACAGTGTCGGAAATGTGAAGAAATTACTGTGGGAACTCATAAATGCTCAGTCATCGCTAGATCAGTGCATTACACACACTTTACAGAACACAGATCTGAACCATACCCCCTCCGCTGGAGTTTATTCGTCTACTTTGTGGACAGAAAATGTATAGATATATATTTTAAAAACATGTTTGTCTATTTCAACACATTCATATGAATAGTAAATTCACGGACCTTTTACACAATTTTACGTATATTTATAAGATCCAAAGTGTGACAGACGGAAACTTTTAAATTGTATATATAAACTTTATATATATAAACTACCCGCCGCTACACGTGCCCCTGTTTCCTTCTGGAACAGTCGGGTTAAAGTTTTCACTCCCCCCACGGCGTTCCGGCTCGTTATGTCCCACTCCTGTCACTGCTTACCCATGGTAAATCCATGCATCTGCTTGGTATAACAATCTAATATGTGCTGTCATGGCTGTGTTAGTTATTGAAGAAGCTCCGTTTTCTTTACCATCTCTTTGTGAAATCTGAACAATTGTGCCTGCTATACAATGTACAAACATGGCCGAAGTAGGAATACTGTTGCTATTTGGTTGTCTCGGATCCGATTTATTTTTGGCGTCTCTGCTCTGATTTCTATTTGTAATGGTCTGATTTCTATTTTGTTGTTTTTGCGCTGATTTCTATATATCATTGTATTTATCTGCAGCTCTGCATGTCTACCAGCAGAGACACTATTTAAACATTTCATAGGGTGTGCATTGCAAATAAGCCGGTGGCTTCAATGAGTGTGTATGAGTGTATGTGTGCGTTGGTATATCATCTATATATGTGTAGTGGAGTACGAAGGTGCGTGGTGGAGGCGGCGTGATTGGATGATCACACAGACAGTACGGGTTATCTTGGGTCAGCCTGTAGTGAAGGCAAAAACAGTATGGGTCATGTTAAAACAGCCAGGTGCAAGGGCTGGGATGATGAGGTAACGGTTGGGCGAATTAAGCCAGAGGACCAGCAACGGCGGTGATTGGCTGGGGCTGTTGTCAAGGGCGAGGAGGCGTCGAGATGTCTGGAGAAAGACAGGTGTTTGGGGAGCGAAGCGTGGGGAGGCACGCTGGCCAATTAATTAGGGGTAATGACAATGGAGCTAAATTGGGGAGACACACAGAGAGCGGGGAGTTGGAGTTGGGAGCTGGACGAGGAAAGACGTGGAGTTGGGAGAGCTTGGAGTCAACAGGGGGAATTGAAGTGTGGAGAGTTGAGAGACAGAGTTTGGAAGACAGAGTTGAGAGACAGAGTTGGAGAGACAGAGTTGGAAGGAGAGAGCGTAGCGATAGCGAAGCTGAACAAAGACGAAGTAGTTAGTGGAGTGAGCGTAGCGATAGCGAAGCTGAACAAAGATGAAGTAGTTGGCAGGGGAGTGAGCGTAGCGATAGCGAAGCTGAACAAAGACGAAGTAGTTAGCAGTGGAATGAGCATAGCGATAGCGGAGCTGAAGAGAATAGCCAGCAGTGGAGTGAGCATAGCGATAGCGGAGCTGAAGACGCTGTGTGCGGAGTTGCTGAGCGCGGAGTCGCTGAGTGCGAAGCAAGCGAAGTAATCGTGGGGAGTGGAAAGACAAAGATGGCGAGCGAGCCGTGGCGACCTGGATATTGTGGAATGTGGAGGACATAATGAGAATTGTAAATAAAGCGGCGTTCGAAGAAAGACTTAAGTTGTCCGAGTGAAATCGAACACTACATATGTAGTGGTCGACTTCACACGGACGACTTCTTCTTTTCTCCGACGCCACTTTTTATTACAAAACTCTTCCCATTCAACACCGGTGACTTCAGCGTGTTTCTCTGCTCGCCGCTGCTCCACTTGCCGCGCTCCGCTTGCCGCGCTCCGCTTGCCTTGCTCGCTCCGCTTGCCGCGCTCCGCTTGCCTTGCTCGCTCCGCTCCCTCTCCCCGTCTCTCGCTGTCTCTCTCTCTGTCGCTCGCTGTCTCTGTCTCTCTTCGTCGCTCGCTGTCTTTGTCTCTCTCCGTCGCTGTCTCTCTCCGTCGCTCGCTGTCTCCGTCTCTCTCCGTCGCTGTTTCACTCCGTCTCCCTGTCTCTGCCTTACTCTGTATCTCCCTCTGTCTCACTCTGTATCTCCCGCTGTCTCTCACTGTCGCTCGCTATCTCTCGCTGTCTCTCTCTGTATCTCGCTGTCTCTGTCTCCCTCTGTCTCTCGCTGTCACTGTTTGTCTCCTTCTCTTCTTGTCTCTGTCTCTCTCTGTCTCTCCTTGTCTCTGTCTCTCTCCGTCTCTCCTTGTCTTGTTCCCTGTTCCACTGCTAGCCTGTTCTGTCTCTCATGTCTTCTCTCTCTGTCTTATTCTGACCTGCTCCATCCCAGTCCCCAGCAACAACTCAACTCTCCGCTCTCACCTCCCAGAATATATCCCCGTCCTCGTTAACTATCAATTAATTAAGCGGCATCCCCAATGACGCATCGTGTCCCTGGTCCCTGCCGTTATCACCCCCATCTCCCGGCACTGTGGCGCCACTTTTCCCTTGACAACAACCAGCCAATCACCGCCATGCATCTTATAACAACTTAACAAGCTATCTCCCTCGTGCCGTTATCCCCATGCCGCACCTGTCCGGCACTACACGACCCCACTGTCCATAACTCGCGCGTCTTTACAATCCTCCCTGTATGCGCGCGTTAATCCACTACATCTGTTAGAAATGTTTAGCATACTTCCCAACATGCAACAAACTTGAAATTTAGCATGTGGGTAGCTTCAAGACTGTACACAATGCAAAAAGTATAAAAACAGACTTTTGTATTTTTTTGGGGGGGGGGGCGCAATAATGGATATATTTTGAACGGCAAGTGAGCGGTGACGTCACATCTGTGATGTCACCCGCATGCGGCAGCGTCACGCAGTGTTCCTGCTGACGTCACGCATCCCCACCCTCCGCGTAGGCTGTGTATCCCGCACAAATGCGCGGCATCGCTGTCTCGATTTTCTAAGTCAACGCGACTATTTTCAGCTCGCTCTTAAATATAAAGGAGAAAATTCATCTGTTTGTGTGAAGCAGCAAAAACTCTCGAACGCTGACCTCTGATGTCATGAAATTTGCACAGCTTCTGCTGTCTGCAATTTATAAGGGAACGCGACGATTTTCAGCTCGCCACGTCATTCCCTTCCTGAGTTGCCTAAATCGACCTTACGTAGAAGTGGGTTAAGGTTGAATTTTCTTGAGGGAAAAACATCCCATTTAGTTAAATTGATTTATTTCGGCTTTTTCTTTCTTGGAAGCATAAATTATTTTTCAGGGTCTTTCAGTGAAATATAAGGGAATATGAAATTAATCCGAGACAAGAATCCAAGTCCTGGGCGAAGCCGGGTCGTAAAGGTAGTGAGTGTATACAGTAAGTGTATATGTATGAATGTTCAACATCTTTGGCACCATATGTAGCAAACCATGCCAATCTGAGATGCGGCCGAAGAACATCGATATTGTGTCAACAGCCGTGCCGGAAGATGGTATCGAACCTGTGACCTCCGGATCACAAATGAACTGCAGTGCTGTCATGGTTCGCACATGGGACTTGTTTTCCAAAAGGTTGCCGGTTCGATTCCATCTCTCATGATGGCAGTAAAAACAACATACTGTATACTCATATACACATGTATACACAGGCATATACACAAAAGGACACTCATCTACAGACACAAATAGTCAGGTTTCTCAAATTCGCCCCCACATCTGCCCACCTACCAGTATGAGTACACCACAGTTAGTCTATTGGTAAGTCTAGTCAATGTGGAAGTGTCGACCAAATAGAATACCACTCTAGTTCGCTCTAGTAGAGGGCCTTCCACCAGCAGTGCAATTGTAGAGATGCACTTATACCTTACCCCTCATCTATCATGGGATTTAACCTTAGGTACCCCACACACACAACCTCCTTCAGCTTGCGTTCTTCCTCTTTCCTCCTCTTCTCTTCACGAATTTGTGCCAGTCGCTGTTTTTTTCGCTCCAGTTCTGCTTTCAGGTCAGTCTTGTCAGACATGATGATCACTAAGGTAAGGAGGACAACACAGTTAAAATATTGTACATGTCAAAAAACGCAAAACAATTAAATGAAAAGCAGTCGGGCTGATGATCCAGTACTCGCCACACTGCAGGTCACAACAACACACTCACTCACCGACCACTGCCTTCCTCATACTCACCCATTCAACAACAACCACCGTTCACCACTAAGTGGCGGATGACGCCACTACGGCGCTTTTGCCAGGCTAGCTACACTTTGAGGCCATGTGAAGTATCCGAGGCTCACTGCCAGGTCATGGAACAGACCCAGGTGCCATGAGTTGACCAAGATGACTGGCAGATGCACCAGCTGTGCTCCTGTCAAATATCTTCGTTTTAGCCACCCGGCGCTCTGCCCATTCACTTCCTTACTCATTTACTCATTCATTCAACTCACCACATTGCAGGTCACAAAACACTCACCCATTCACGCCCTTACTATACACGTGTAGAGGAGTACCGCGAGGACCGAACGAGGGGCGAGTGTGGGAAGGGGGACGGAAAAGGAGGAGCCCGAAGAAGGACCGGAAGAGAGAGGTGGAAGAGAGTTGGAGGAGACGTCCCGTAGGAAGCGGGGAAAAGGGGGGCTGTAGCAAAGACGTGCGGGGTAGCTTGGAGAGAGAGGAAGTGAGGAAGAGACGTGCGGGGTAGCTTGGAGAGAGAGGGAGTGAGAACGAGGAAGGAACGTAAGGGGGTAGCGAGTGCCCGCGACGAGGGGAAGTGTGGAGAGAGAAGGAGTAAACGGCGGCAGCCCTGAACAGAATCTGGTCTCCGTGTGATCCTTGATACCCGGGGACGAAGTCCTGCACGACACATGTGTAGTGACAATGCTGGATGTCACCATGCTGTGGGTGTAGTAACGGCCCTAGAGGGGCACGGCGTGTGGTGTTGCGACATCGCCGGGTACCACAATGTTGTGGGTGTAGTACCGGCCCTAGAGAGGCACTTTGTGCGCTGAATAATATTTATGGATGGCACCACGCTTTAAGTGCAGTGCCAACCCTACAGGACAGGGTGTGTGGGTGCCGACCTAAGGATAAGGTTGTGTGAGACCATGGCACTCTGGTTGACCCGGGAGGACACGTGACCGGTTAAGTTGACAGAGGGGCCCCAAGAGGGGGCTCGGGGGGTCACGTGATTGGGACCCAGATCCTTCCTGAGGCTTTTGGAAGGTGGACATGGCCAAGGGCAGAGTCGGCCACGCCACAGAGAATATAAGCCCGGTCCCAAGAGGGGCCAGGGTTGTTGTTCAACCTGGAAGAAACCCTTCGTCTACGATCTCCGTTCAACGAGTCTCCAACACGTGGACCCGGGCCGAAGTCATTGGTCTCGGTCCGTAGTAACAATTACGTAGTAACTAGTGTAGGTAGCCGGGTGGTCACCACCTTATTTGTTATTCTGTTAAGGGGAAGTTACCCGTGTGTTGGAACTAAATAAAACGTGTTGCCTCCAAGTCTATGTCTGCGACTCAGTTAAACCCATTACAACTGGCGTCAGAAGCAGCCAAACGTTAGGTTATGCTTACGCGACGCAGACTACATACCAGGACGTTGTCGGATGACGAGGATGAGGAAGGCAATATTCTCCAGACAGTCCCAGGGATGGCGACCCCGGAATAAGGGAGTGAGGCGGACGTTCCGCGCCCGTCTCACTGAACTTCTCGAGGCCGTGGCCGCAATGGTCGCTGAGGTCGACCGTGGAGAGCCAGCGGTGGAGGAGACAGCACTGGAGCTGTGCGGGGTCGAGCCTCCTGTCGCTGTTTCCCGCCAGCGGGAAAGCTCCGTTGCGCAGCCCGCGCACGTGGCCGCCATTTTGTTCGCAGAGCGGGACGGAGAGCCGCCAAGTCTGAAAGTACGCCGAGTTCGCCTGTCGAGATTCCATCCCTCAGGCGACGTCTACCTTTCTTTAAAGAATTTTCAGCCACGGGAGGCGACGGTGGCCTTCAAGCACCAGTTCCAGACAAACTGCGATTTGGCGGGATGGACGGAGGCAGAGGCGCTGAGAGCGCTACTCGCCGCGCTTGACGACGACGCCTTGGCGGCGTTTTGCACCATCCCACCGTCAGAGAGGGCCACACTTCAGCAAGCCTTTGCCCAAATGGCGCCATAAGTTCGCTGCGCAGAGGAGGGGGGAGGCCGAGACGCCCCTCACCTTCCGCAGCGCACTGTTGGTGCTAGCGAAGGCTGCCTTCCCGAAGATGGACCACGACGGAGTCGACTCGCTGGTCCTCACAAGATTGCTGACGCTGGCGAAGGACCTCAACATCATCCTGCCAGCCGTCGACGAAGACGATTTGTCTTCTCTTAAAGTTTCAAGATGCATTCAGGCACACCTGCTTTTGCAACGACATAAGAGGTTGGCGGCATCTATCGTGCCTCGTTCAAGCCTGCGCATTAACCCAAGGTGGAGGCTGGCGGGGGGACAGCATGGTGCGACGGGATGAACAACATCGACGGCGGAAGACCTCTCCTCGTCCTGGGAGCGGGCTCGTCGTGTGCTATAACTATGGCCTGCTGCGACACGTCTCGTCGGGTTGCCACATGCCATGATGACGCCTCCCCAAACCACCGCCGTCATCCGCCCAACCGTCCTCCACTCCACTATATCCTAAGGTGAGTCGCGACACACCACACACTCGGCCCCTGAATCCACCTCACTCATCGCGTTTGGATGGTTTTCATTCCCGTCATGTGTCGGGGCATGAGGGTTCGGATTTTGCTCGGGATGACTGGCCACTCCAACTGGGTCAGTGGTCAGAGTTGGCCCATACAGTAGCTGCCGCGTCCGCGGGTTCATCCGCTGTTATCAGAATGATAGAGGGGGTTGAAATTAGAATGCTCGTCGATACCGGTGCATCCGTGACTATCAATTTCCGAGTTGATTTTTAACATTCTGTCCCATAAGTGTCGTACCCTATGTCCCGTTGGGGTTCCATGCTTTGCCGCAAACGGCGGCTCATTGGGCATCATCGGACAGATAACGGCAGAGGTGTGCATTGGAGATATCAAATTGACGGAACCAGTTCTTGTGTCAACGTCCCTTGCCGTTCCTTGCTTGCTCGGGACTGACTTCCTGGGGAAGATGCCCCTGAAAATTTGAATTGACCAAGGTTGTCTCGAGTTGCCATCGGCCACCGCATGGCCTTTTTGCCTTCTCCCACTCGATTGCGCACGGCCAACGCTACTGTACAAGCGCTTGCGAGTAGGACCGTAAAGATTCCTCCCAGGGCGCAAATGTTGGTTCGCTTACGATTGCGGAAGCCGCTTGACCAGGTGGCGACTGTGGGAGGAATCCTTCTAGAACCCTCAAACAAAGCCATTCGTGGGTTGGTTGTTGGTGGGGGCCCAGACTCTGTCATTCTCAGAGGCTGATTGCTGATGCATTGGGATGGAGAATTGTGCCGTTACAACATTGTCATGCCCACTGCCCTGCGGGGTAAAATTATCTGGGCGGTGCACGAGCGACTGCTGCACCTGGGTGTGCATAAGACGCTAGCTGTGTAAATGCCAAGGCAACATTGCCTCAGACCCCAAGCTGTGTTCCTGCCAAGGCAACATTGCCACGGACCCCAAGCTGTGTTCCTGCCAAGGCAACATTGCCACGGACCCCAAGCTGTGTTCCTGTCAAGGCAACATTGCGACGACCCCAAGCTATGTTCCTGGAAAACTTCACGGAGATCGTCAAGACAGCCAAGGGTCATGAATGAAGAGTCCCCTGTGTGGGCTTCAGTGGGGCCATCTGGTAGGGCAGCAGAGACACGAGAGGCCAAGAAACGACATTCCAGTCGTGGGCTGAGCTCAAGGAGGACTAGCTCGAGCACCATCCTGCGGCGGGGAAAAGAGGTGGTGCAAGCGGTTCAGCCGAGCCCACAACAGCCAAAAATCTGCTGTGGGAGGGCGCTGTTCAACCCTAGCACATGGGCGAGAAGCCATGCATGTGTGACGAGTGCGGCAAGACGTTTTCTCGCACTCGGCCTACAAATATATATTTTATTTTCCGCTTGTGTGTTAATCTGTGTTTACCCCGGATATTTTAGAGATGGCAATTCCCCTGCTGTGTATCCTACTGCTGTCCCTCCCGGCCATATCTATTGCCACACTCAACTCTACAAACAGCTACCCTCGTTACTTTGCGTCCATACTTGTTGCTCAATTTGCCACTACACCTGCTAATGAAACAGCTCATAGACACTTCTACACTCCATCATTGTATCTTTTTAAACCCTATATTTGTCCCATTACTTCAAAACTGTAGAGTCCTTCCGCTTCCTGGGCACTATTCTCTCCCGGGACCTCAAGTGGGAACTGAACTTCAGCTCCCTCACCAAGAGAGCACAACAGAGGATGTACTTTCTACGGCAGCTGAAGAAATTCAACCTGCCAAAGACAATGATGGTGCAATTCTATACAGCAATCATTGAATCCATCCTCACCTCCTCCATAACCGTCTGGTACGCTGCTGCCACTGCAAAGGACAAGAGCAGACTGCAACGTATCATCCACACTACTGAGGTGATTGCCTGCAATCTACCAACCCTCGAGGACCTGCACACCACGAGGACCATGAGGCGAGCGAGGAAGATTGTGGCCGATTCCTCCCACCCTGGACACTCTCTGTTTCAGCTACTCCCCTCCGGCAGAAGGCTGCGGTCCATCAGGACCAAAACCTCACGCCACAAAAACAGTTTCTTCCCATCCGCTGCTGGCCTCTAAAACAAGGCCAAGGGCTTACACTGACTATAACATATTATCTACAAAATGAGACCTTGCCAATATTAACTATGTTACCCTATTTGTATTTTTTTATTTTTAGATTGTATTTTAGATCTATTTTATATTTGATATTTATTCAATTTTATATACTTTAGCCCCTTGTTGTTAGTTAGACTTTAAATCCTTATTATAGTAAGACTTGTTTACCACTTATTTTAGATTCCTATATGTTGAATGTATGCACCATCCTGCCAAAGTAAATTCCGTGTCTGT